CTCAAAAAGTTAAACATAAAATTACCACGTGATCCGGCAGTTCTACTCCTTTATATTCTAAATAACTAAAAACACATTTTTCACACAAATTCTTGTACACTAATGTTCATAGCAAGATTATTCATAATAGCCAAATAGTGGAAACAACCCAAACTCCCTCCATGGATAAATAGATATACCACATTTATCTACACAATGGAATATTATCAGTCATAAAATGGAATATATATATACTGTTATATGCTATGACAAAGATGAACCTTGAAAACAGTATACTAAGTGGAAGAAGTCAGACACAAAAGACCACATAATATATAATTCTATTTATGTCAAACATCCAGAATAGGCACATCTATTAAAGACAGAAAATAGGTAAGTGGTTTCGAGGGGAAGGAGGGGAAAATAGGACTAATTGCTAAGAGGTAGGGATGATGGAAATGTTCCGGAATTAGACAGCGGTAATGATTGCACAGCATTGTGAATGTACTAAAAAATACGGAAGTGTATACCTTTTAATTTTTTATGTTTTGAGACAGGGTCTCACTCTGTCACCCAGGCTGGAGTATAGTAGTACAATCACAGCTCACTGTAGTTCTGAACCACTCCCACCCCTAACCCTGCCAGCCCCAGGCTCTAGTGATTCTCACACCTCAACTTCCCAAGTAGCTGGGATCATATGCATACACCATCGTGCCCTGCTAATTTATTTATTTATTTTTTTTGAGACGGAGTCTCACTCTGTAGCCCAGGCTGGAGTGCAGTGGCCGGATCTCAGCTCACTGCAAGCTCCGCCTCCCGGGTTCACGCCATTCTCCGGCCTCAGCCTCCCAAGTAGCTGGGACTACAGGCGCCCGCCACCTCGCCCGGCTAGTTTTTTGTATTTCTTAGTAGAGAAGGGGTTTCACCGTGTTAGCCAGGATGGTCTCGATCTCCTGACCTCGTGATCCACCCGTCTCGGCCTCCCAAAGTGCTGGGATTACAGGCTTGAGCCACCGTGCCCGGCCGTGCCCTGCTAATTTTTAAATTGTTTTGTAGAGACAGGGTCACCCTATGTTGCCCAGGCTGGTCTTGAACTCCTGGCTTCAAGTGATCCTCCTGCTTCAGATTCCCAAAGTTCTGGGATTACAGGTGTGAGTCACCATGCTTGCCCAGTGTACACTTTTAAATGGTAAATTTTATGTGAAGCATATCTCAGTTCAAAAATATCCTGTTTTAAAATCAGCCCAGCATGGTGGCTCCTGTCGAGATCATTCTGATTCCAAATCCCAAGCTTAACTTCTATGCTATATAGTTTCTAGCTAAGGATTCCCTCTTCTGTCAGCTCTCTTCAGAAATATACCATATTCTCTGAGGACATTTCTCTTTTGAGTCTTCAAACACCAGAGCTTACATGATGAACTGTTTAAAATGTTTTAAAAATTAAAAAAATGAAAAACATCAGAACTGCTGCTTGGATGAAATTTTGACATATTTGGAAAATTTTTTCTATGTCAGCAATGAGGATGAAGATATACTATTTAAAGATGAGATGAATTAAGAACAGTAAGATGTTTTGGCACCATAATGTGTGATTCTTCTTAGGAAAAGGTCATTCTTGCAGCCCCATGGCAAGAAAACAGTTTTAGTTTTAGAGAAGTATTACATACTATAATTTTTTTTGTTGGACTAAAGGGAATTTTGTTCTTCTAGTTTATTTGAGGACTCTGGATCTGAACGTTAAAAAATACTCTGGGTGGAGTACTCAAGTGAATTTTATTTATTAAATGCTGTTTTAAAATCCGTTCCCTTAGTGGTGGAAAAATATTGTTATGGGCTGAGGACAGAGATCATCTATAAAAATGGGATACGTGAAATGGTCATGGGTTAGGCACCCAAGTGCTAGAGTGTAGGAGAAAAACAAAAATGTTTTTCAAGTTTTTCTTTTCCTGCAAAGAAACTGAAGTTTGGAATAAAATTAGGAAGAAAACAGTCTAATAGCTTACCCTTGTGGTTTTTCCCAGTATCCAGGCTGTAGAAAACAAAAGACAGTCAAAAGGAGGCCTTGTGAGCCCCCTCATATAGTGGTCAAATGTATTCAGGCACAGCCTGTTAACCTTGGCATCATTCCTTCATCTCCCCAGACTTCCAGCTTTCAAAATGTTATTGCCTACTGGCCCCAAAGGCAAACAACTTGCCATGTATAATATGCCCTATATTAATGCCTTGCAGTCCATGCATATGAGGAAACCAATCCATCAACAGATGTCCTTAGTGACAGAGTAGGAAACTACTGCACAAAGAAAATCATGGGGATCAAATATAATACCCAGAGGCAGTCATGGCTGAATTCGCTCAGTCATATATAACTTTTTTTCACTTATTTTTAATCAATTGGAATTTTGCCTTAATTACATATGTGTGTGTGTATATATATATTTACCTATATATTTTAGAAAGCAGTGTGTAATCATCTATGTTGAAACTAATTTGTTAATCTTGTACAAGGCTGGCACATTCTCCCAAAGGGATTCTCTGCCAATGTGAAAATTAACTCTGTAGCTCTGAACCTCCTTCCCATGGATTCAAAGTAATGTATGAGAAAAATTCTTGGCCAATCACAAATGCTATACAAACTAAAAAATACTATTGTGCACTGGGCATGGTGGCTTACATCTGTAATCCTAGCACTTTGAGAGACTGAGGTGGGAGGATCCCTTGAAGCCAGGAGTTTGAGAACAGCCTGGGCAACATAGGGAGACCCTGTCTCTACAAAAATATATATATATATGTTTAAACTAGCCAGGCATGGAGGCTCGTACCTGTAGTCCCAGCTACTTGGGAGACTGAGGTGGAAGGCTCGCTTGAGCCCAGGAAGTCGAGGCTGCAGTAAGCTGTAATTGCACCACTGCACTCCAGCCTGGGTGATAGAGTGAGACCCTGTCTTAAACAAATAAATAAATAAGTAGCTATTATCATCAACCCAATCTTAGGAATCCAGTATCAGCTTGATAGTCACTTTTCAGGTCAACAATACCATCAAGAAAAGTGTTGACACTCAGCTAATAAAATGGTATAATGTTACCCTAGGATGTTATTATGTCTGCCTTCTATTATCCCAAGACACAGGAGAACATTCATTTTTAAACTTTTCAAATGTGGAAAACAAACCCATTGGCTAAGATGATTTCCAATTTGAAATAGTTTCCAGCATTGTATGAGCCACTCCCTGTACACCAAAGAGACATTCCCTTTACTCAATTTTATATCCCACTCATGAAACATTTTCATGTCTTGGACCTACCAACTCCAACTGGATACCACTGGCAGGAAGTGAGAAGGGTATGAGCCCTGGGCTAGGCACAGCAGGGTGGGGAGACTGGCTTTTAGCTCTGGCTCTGGTTTTTACTGGAGTGATAACCTCTAAATTCTTTTCAAGTAACAGTTCTACAAATAATACCCCTTTCTCCTTCCCCGTTTCTTTCTACAGACTATTTCTTCAGTCATCCAGAGGCCAATGTAGGAGTCACTTATGAGTCCCTCAGTCTTTTATTCCCCCTATTCAATCAGTCATCAAGCGCCTCAGTCTTTCCTGAGAACATCTCTCAGATCAGGTCTATCTGTCATGACCCTGGTTCTCTGTTATTTCCTGTGGCCCAACAGGCTGAAGCTAAATATGTGGAATAGAAGACTCCTCAAAACCTGCTCTTTACCTCAGCCTCTAGTTGTATCTTCTGCTGCTTTCTTCCCACTGTGACCTTCTGCCCCAACCGCACATACTCTCTCTCTCTCTCTTTCTCTCTCCTGTTTATGTTCTGTATTAGTTTCCTATCACTACTGTAACAAATTACCAAAAACTAGTGCCATACGCAATACAAATTTATTATCTTACAGTTGGATCAGTCAGAAGTCTGACAAGTCTCAATAAATTAAAATCAAGGTGTCAACAGGGCCGTATTTCTTCTGGAGGCTCTATAGGAGCAACCATTTCTTTCCCTTTTCCAGGTTCTAGAGGCCACCCCCTTTCCTTGGTTCATGGCTGCCTTCCTTCAAAGCCAGAAACATTGGGCCAAGCCCTTCTGTCTCTCCCTCTTCCACTCTAAAGGACCTTGTGACCCAGCCTGGCCAACATGGTGAGAACTCGTCTCTACTAAAAATACAAAAATTAGCTGGGTGTGTGGACGCCTGTAATCCCCAGCTACTCAGGAGGCTGAGGCAGGAGAATTGCTTGAACCTGGGAGGCGGAGGTTGCAGTGAGCCAAGATTGTGCCACTGCACTCTAGACTGGGCAACAGAGTAAGACTCCATCTTAAAAAAAAAAGAAAATGAAAAAGGACTCTTGTGATTACATTGAGCTCAGTTAGATAGTTTTGCTACTTCAGCTGATTAGCATCCTTAATGGCATCTACAATCTTAATTCTTCTTTGCCTTGTAACCTGTTACCTTCACAGTTTCGGTTCTGGGGATTAGGAGGTAGACATTTTTGGGGGAGCATTATTTTGCCTCTCTCATCCTCTGCCTCCCAAATTGTCAAGAGATGCTTTTTATTTCCTCTTTTTTAATTTTACAATTAATCGTAGTAACAATCAACTGAATATTACCACAATAATGAGTATGTTTCAATTAAGTAAATTTGACTGTAAATTATATATCCAGAGGTCTGGATTTATATTTTTAGGAAAAAACTCCACAATACTGAAGGGCTTTATCTAAAATTAACTTGCATTTTAAATCATATTGGTAACCACTCTGGGGATCCTAACAAAACACAAAGCATTTTAACATCTCATTGGCTTAAATTAACTAACTATAATAATGATAACACATACCTATCAATTATATTTCATAGTTAAACCTTGAGAGAAATAAGCTTCAAATAAGTATTTTGAAAGGTTAATGCTAGGGTCTAATATTACAATATATCTAAAATATTTCTGTGTTAATCTTACAATTTTAGAAAATCTCTAGTATGTTTTAGCTTAAAATGTTCTGGTTGTTATCACTTTTTTAGGCTCACAGAAGGGAGGCAGGCACCGATGGAAAAAGGTAAGTTACTTATCCTCTTGGTCTGAAAAACATTGCAAACAGTAATCATACTTTTAGAGCATCAAATATGGGGCTGGAGCCTGGGCTGTGATAGAAATAACTTTGTCTTTTCTAATAACATGACCTTAACAGAACAGACAATAGAGACAGAGGGAAAAGCAGCAGCCAAAAGTTCTTGTAAAGGTTCTAGAGGGTGAACCATGCTTTTTGTTTTCTCACCTATGTCATGCTGATATTAAGCAGTCAGATTATATAGCATTTTTGTCCCTTCCTCAGGGAAGCCTTCTCTGGTCACCCCCTAGATCCGTAGGGGTCACAAAGATATACTATTTTGGACTGGTATGGTTCTCCTTCACAGCACTTATAACCCCCATTACAGGTTATTTTTGTAATTGTTTAATGTGCCCTCCACGTGATTAACATGCTTACCATTGCATCCTTAGCTTCTACCACAGTGATTGGCTCCTATTAGACAATTAAAATATTTGTTGAATTGAATTGAATAAAGCTTTGGGGGGCACAGAGCAGCTGCTATGGATTTGTTTGTTTTTGTTGTTGTTTTTGAGACGGAGTCTCCCTCTGTTGGCCAGGATGGAGTGCGGTGGCGCGATCTCTTGGCTCACTGCAACCTCTGCCTCCCGGGTTCAAGCGATTCTCCTGCCTCAGCCTCCTGAGTAGCTGGGACTACAGGCATACATAACTACACCCGGCTAATTTTTGTATTTTTATTAGAGACATGGTTTCACCATGTTAGTCAGGTTGATCTGAAACTCCTGATCTCAAGTGATCAGCCCGCCTCCGCCTACCAAAGTGGTGGGATTACAGGCGTGAACCACCGCGCCTGGCTGCGATGGTGTTTTGCTTCTTTGGAATTGTGTAGCACATTCAGTACCAAGTGATGTCCTCTGCTCTCAATACGTGCTTCCCAAAGAACCCACATTTCACCCATTCGGAACCTTGCATGGTGTAGTAGCTGAAGCTACTTCAAGGACTCCTTCTCTTTATCTTGGGTAGAAAGGAACAATGTGAACTCAGCAAGGGGAGCATGAAAACAGATTTTCTCTTATGTTACTTGTAGAAAGCTTTTAGATTTACCATTGAAAATAGCGAATTTGGAACCATATCCATTTTGACTTATCTCTTAATTGTATTTTAAAACAGTGGTTCTAAGTGTGGTTCCGGGACCAACATCATCAGCATTGTGGGAACTTGTTAGAAACACAAATCCTTGGGCCTCACCACTGAACTAACGACTCGGAACTGGGATGTGACTGGGGGAATTCTGTGTTTTAACAAGTTCTCCAGGTGATTCTGATGCATGCCAGTTTGAGAATCACTTTTTAAAACCAATGTTTAAGTCCAATCTAACCTACTTAACTATTAACAGTCTACCTGGCTAGTGTAGTATATAACAGCTCACAGTACACATGCTCAATTCCAAGCCTATCTGCTCTCCTCAATCTGTATATTTCTCCTGCAATTTATTATGGTGTGAAAGGCGCAATGATACACATGTTTGATCATTTTCAAATAATGCCTGGGCTCACACCAGTCATCCCAGCACTTTGGTAGGCTGAGGCGAGATGATCGCTTGAGTTTGAGACCAGCCTGGACAACATGACGAAACCCCATTTCTAAAAAAAAAAAAAAAAATTAGCCACCTGTAGTGGCGTGCACCTGTATTCCCAGCTACTTCGGAGGCTGAGGTGGGAGGATCCCCTGACCCCTGGGAGGTGGAGACTGCAGTGAGCCATGACTGCATCACCGCCCTGCAGTCTGGGCGAGAGTGAGACCCTGTCTGAAAAAAAAAGTGCCCTTCACAGAAGCTTCCTCAGGGTATTAGCATGAGCATGTGAAAGTACAGTATGTTTATCAAACAATAAAATAAGCAGTTATAGGTAACGTCAGAATAACAAGGAGGCCAATTATCAAAATGAAAGGCTAGAGTTTTGCATGTTGTGCTTTGAGGGGAGAAGGAAGAAGGAGGGGAGACACCTCTGAATGCCTACTTGTTACTTTTTCGTCCTGAATTTTCACGTTATTACACTTTTGATAGCAGAATCCTGTATTTTGGTGCAGAGGTGGCAAAATAAGGCGGGGGCTGGTGGTGCGCAGAAGCTGACAAGGTTAGAATGTGCAGCGTTTTTACGACAGACTGGTTTTACTCATTTCCTGCCTCACTTCTCTCCGATCTGCATAGGTTTTTCTTTTCATCTTCCGTTATCAGTACGCTCCCGTCTGCCGCGCTCCGCCCCTGTGTGGCGCACGATCGCAGTCAGTGGATTAAGCCGGCTCCAAGACAAAGCGGATGCCGAGCCCGGGAAGGAAGCGCGCTCTCCGCCCCGCCTAGAGGGAAGGCCCAGCCTCAGCACAGCAGCGCTCCCTCGGCACCCGGACGTGACCTAGTTCTCACAGAGGCCCGGCCTCTTCCGCCACAAGTGCAGCCCGCGGTCCCGCCCCGTCCCGTGAATGGTCGGCCGGCCTCACGTCTAAAAAGCGTTTAGGTGCCTGCGACCGAGCCTCGGGAGAAAGGCGAGCACGTCTCAGCCAATGAGGTGATAGAAATGCAAAGCAGCGACCAACGACTAGCTGGGATGGGCTGGGCCGGCCGACGAATCACGAGGTCTCGCACCCGGATATGGTTGCTGGGCTCGGAAATCTAGCTCGGGAAAAGCGTGAGGGACTCTTCACGTGGGGCAAGGACAGCAGGCGCGGAGGAGGGGGCGAACGTGTGTGAGATTCAGTGGCCCGTGCGTTTGTTGTGTAAGGGTCATCCAGGGGGAACAAATCAATGTGGCTGTTTTTCCGTGGAAAGAATTGCCACTGCAGCGTCCCGGAGCCTGCGTGTGGTGGGCAAGCTCCTCAGATGGTATCTCACAGGGAGTAGGGGAGTCTTGAAAACGCAGCTCCGGCGGTAGGAACATGAACCTCTTACCTAAAAGTTCCAAGGAGTTTGGCTCCGTTGACTACTGGGAGAAGTTCTTCCAGCAGCGAGGAAAGAAAGCTTTCGAGTGGTATGGAACCTACCTGGAACTGTGCGGGGTTCTACACAAATACATCAAGCCCAGGGAAAAGGTGAGGAGCGCGGCCTGTCAGCCCTTCGTACGTGCTCCGGAAGGTGGGAACTAGTAACAGGAGTCTTGCACTTGGTGGACAGTGACAGGCGGGAGGACCCTAGCTGGACGCATATTTCAGCATTTCCTGAATTGTCCCTGCTAAAAGACAAACTAAAATACTCTTTCAGCCTGGGCGTGGTGGCTCACGCCTGTAATCCCAACACTTTGGGAGAGCGAGGTGGGAGGATCGCTTGAACCCAGGAGTTCGAGACCAGCCGGGGTAACATAATGAGACCTCGTCTCTACAAAAAATGAAAAAAATAGCTGGGCGTGGTGGCGCGCATCTGTAGTTCCAGCTACTCAGGAGGCTTAGGTGGGAGGATCGCTTGAGCCCAGGAGGTTGAGGCTGCAGTGAGCCATGATCACTCCACTGCACTCCAACCTGGGTGACAGAGTGAGACGCTGTCTCAAAAATTTTTTAAAGGTTTGCAGGTAATAAACCTCCCACCCCAACTCATTCTTGGATTAATGACCCTACTTGAAGAGTGACTTCCAATCTTCTGTCACTGTATTCCTGTGCAACCTGCGGCAGTTGTGACCTTGTGTATGAATTTGTTTTTCAAATAGTTGTTCAGTGCTCTCCGAGTTTCAGGCACTGTGCCCAGTCCTTAAGCTATAAGAGCATTAAGACATAAACCCTGCACATGTTCCAGAAGTGAAACATGATAAGTACAATAATGGGTTTGGTAATAGGTGAGATTGTACTGGAGGTTGGGAAGGAGGAAAGGTAGAAAACTAACATTTGCGGGTAAGCTTTATGTGCCAGACCTTTATTGGATGCCGTGTATATGCATGTGCAGTCTTTCAATTCTCATCATAAACTCAGGTGAGTGGCCCTGGATGCATTTTACAGATGAGGAAACTGAGGCCTTGAGAGCCACTTTTTTTTTTTTTTTTTTGCCCAAGATCATGCCCAAGTGGTCATGTGGGGATTTAAACTCAGGCCTGTCTGGCTCAAAAGCATATGCACATCTCTTTGTACCATGCTTTTCCAGAGATGGCAATATCAGAATTTCTAAGTTTGAATGGAAGATTGCTCCCTGGAGAGGGAGACAACAATCTGAATTTTAAGTTTGGCTTCAGAAAATAGCTGAATATTGTGAGATGGAATCTGTGATGGAAGTAAGATTTGAATCCTCACAAAGTGTACTTTATTGTCTAATGGAGCCAAAGGCATGAGTAGATTGAGGAAATATGGTTATTCCCGGCCTAGGATTTCAACTGTAACTCTATATTTGGATTCTCTGACTTCCTATTAATTCCCAAGTAATAAGTGCATGTTTTAGAGAAAAGAACAATTATGATTAATTTGTTTCTGCAACACAAAGCCCATTCTTATATAACTTGTATTGTAGCTGAATGTGGTTTTCACTAGTGAGTATCTATGTGGTGGTTCAAGATAGAGTCTAGAATCAGCTCTGCAATGTTGCTGTTTCCCTGGTAGTAGCATCTCCACCTTCTGCAAATGTGCCTCAGCCAAGGTGAGACTTGATTCCTTGAAGTACCTGAAGCACAGTCCTTTGCTTTGATTACCTTCCTCTTGTCTGCGAATTTTTTCTCCAGGTGCTGGTGATTGGGTGTGGCAACTCAGAACTGAGTGAGCAACTGTATGATGTGGGCTATCGGGATATAGTGAACATCGACATCAGTGAGGTTGTCATCAAGCAAATGAAGGAATGCAATGCCACGCGACGGCCCCAGATGAGCTTCTTGAAGATGGACATGACACAGATGGAGTTTCCCGATGCCTCGTTCCAGGTGGTGTTGGACAAGGGCACCCTGGATGCTGTCCTGACAGATGAGGAAGAGAAGACCCTGCAACAGGTGGACAGGATGCTGGCTGAGGTTGGCCGTGTCCTGCAGGTGGGCGGTCGCTATCTCTGCATCTCCCTGGCTCAGGCTCACATCCTGAAGAAAGCAGTGGGCCACTTCTCCCGGGAGGGGTGGATGGTGAGGGTGCACCAAGTGGCCAACAGCCAGGACCAGGTGTTGGAAGCAGAGCCTCAGTTCTCCTTGCCTGTCTTTGCCTTCATCATGACCAAGTTCAGGCCAGTCCCTGGCTCTGCCCTTCAGATCTTTGAGCTGTGTGCTCAGGAGCAGGGCAAGCCTGTGCGGCTGGAGAGTGCCGAGCGGCTGGCCGAGGCGGTGCGGGAGCGGCAGCAGTATGCCTGGCTGTGCAGCCAGCTGCGCCGCAAGGCCAAGCTGGGGAGTGTGTCTCTGGACTTGTGCGATGGGGACACGGGGGAGCCACGCTACACCCTCCACGTGGTGGACAGCCCCACTGTGAAACCATCGCGGGACAATCATTTTGCGATTTTCATCAGTGAGTTGGGATTGCTCCCTCTCTTCCCTGGAGGGGCTGGCTTACAGGGGCTGGGACTTGGGCTGGGGTTTGGGCTGGGGCTGAGGCTGGGTTGGGGCTTTGGTGGGATTCTTGACTGTTTTTATCTTGCAGGGGTTTGTACTTCCAGAGGATTAGACTACCCAAGGCATGATGAAAAGAGAGTAATAGCTTTCTAGCAACCTACTGCGAGTTGAGACCTATTCCTTCTCATTTGCCATTGCAAAGGCTTGATGAATTGTGAGAATGGGGTTGGTAGGGGAGAGAGAATAGAGATACATTTAGGAGGTCACATATGACATAGAGATGCTAGTTTCTTGGTAGCATGGAGTAATGGAAGTAATGCTGGACTAGCAAGTCTAAGACATAGGTTCTAGTCCCAGCTGTATCCTGTGAGCTGCAGGACCTGGGAAAGTTGCTGTGCTTGTCTGCAAAATTTAGAGAGGCAGCATAGGATAGCAGCTAAAAAAGTGAGCTCTGGAACCAGACTGTTTGGGTTTCAGTTTTGGCTCAGTCATTTCCTGATGGTATGACATTAGACAGGTTACTTTCCTTTCTCTGCCTTGGTTTTCTCACCTATAAAGTGGGAGTGTAACTCTGGTATAGTGGTGAGAAGTATAAAAGCTCTTAGAAATGGTACCTGGCCTTGGAAGTGCTGTGTAAATATTAACCATTATTATTGAAAGCAGTAAGTGATACCAGATTTACCTTAAAAAGGATAAAAAAGATAGCAGGAGGAAATGCTTTCAAAAGTAGAACATTCTAGACAAATGCAAAGTGTTTATGGTCTTGGTGTTATGGTAGTTTGTTTCCTGGTGACTGAACCAGTTTTTCAAGTATTCTGTAATTCTATCCATCCATGGGTGGAAATAAATAGTGTAGTGAATACAAGCGTGGGTAGAGTCTGGGGCTAGACTGCCTGGGTTTGAGTCCCAGCTTCACCATTTACTTATTGTGTGAAGTTGGGCAAATAGTGTAACTTCTGTTTCTCAATTTCCTCATTTGTAAAAATGGGGATAATACTACTACCTGCAGCTTGGGCTGTTGGAGGATTCCATTAATATGTATTTGTCAACAGCTTGGAGTCATGCCTGGCATGACTTATTTGTGTTGGCATTATTGCTGTTTTTCTTGTGATAGGTGCCTGCCTCCTTCCCCTACAGACATGCCCACACTTCTTCTCCACCCTTGGTCCTATGTCTTGTCTGGTGGGCTGCTTTGCCCTAGGTGTTGTGAACTAGAGAGTCGTTAGCTCCTCAGTGGGTCACAGTTGGGGAAGATGCTGGTCTTGGACAGGGACTGGCTCCCTTCCATTTGGGCCATATTGGTTGTGGGCTTGAACACTCTTTCCAGGACTCCCTGTAACCAAGTTCTTTTTTCTAGTCCCCCAGGGCCGGGAGACTGAGTGGCTCTTTGGCATGGATGAGGGCCGGAAACAGCTGGCGGCCAGTGCTGGCTTCAGGAGGCTGATTACAGTGGCCCTTCACCGAGGTCAGCAGTATGAAAGCATGGACCACATCCAAGCTGAGCTGTCAGCTAGAGTCATGGAACTGGCCCCAGCAGGGATGCCCGCACAGCAGCAGGTAACACAGCTTTCGTACAGCTTTCATGGGTCTCTGAGGTCATGTTAGCAGCCAGGGAGGCAGAGGGAGCCTTGTCAGGATCTAGGACTAGAGTCTGTGACTCTCATCTAATCCTGGATGGGTATCAGCAGCTAAGGGTTACATGGCAGGGAAACCCTGTCCTTTGCCCTAGGCAATGAGAGGAAAGTGAGTACAGTAGGGTCTGTGTCTGGGGGAGCCTCTCAGACTCGATAGACATGGCGGGACGGAAATGCTCTATACATTGCGGGCTCCAGTTCTTCTTAATTTGAGTTGCTCTGACTGTGGGTTTCTTCTTCCACACTTTTTGAGCTGGATTTTCTTGGTCATTTTGCTTTTTAGAACTATCATTATCTAAGGGTATAAATGGAAAAGGGCCAAAACAGCTCAGCACGGTTATCCAGGTATTCACGTTGCTGGTCAGGTGTTTTATTAGGAAGGAAACTGAAGGTTTTTGCCTAAATGGTGATACGGTATTATCAGTTAACACCAACTGTGCCATCCTGGTCACCATGGGTAATGAACAAGTGATTTTACTGCAAGAACTTCATGTTGAGGAGTTGATCCTTTTTTTTTCTTTTTTGAGATAGGGTCTTGCTCTGTTGCCCAGGCTGGACTGGAGTTCAGTGGTGTGATCACGGCTCACTGCAGCCTCAGCCTCAACCTCCTGGGTTCAGACCGTCCTCCCACCTCAGCCTCTGGTAGTAACTGGGACTATAGGTGCAAACCACCATACCTGGCTAGTTTTTTTACATTTTTTTTAGAGACAGGGTCTCTCTGTGTTGCCCAAGCTTTGATCCTTCTTGATGGGTGGGAAAGCAAAGGTATCTAGAGGCTTGGTGCAAATAGTAACAGTTCTGAAAAAAAGAACCTAGGCTTCTGGGTGCCTGGCCTGTGGTTCTGTCCACTAGGCTGACTTGTGTTTACAGAAGAATGTGTGTTTGATTCTTCCTGGCCAACTTTGGGCTTGGTGACCCCTATTTCAGGGAAGCCCAGATCCTCTGGGGAGCTTCATTTGTGACCTCTCACCAGTGCCTGAGTCTGCAGGGTCAGGAGATACTGGTGATTATTAAATAGTCTTATAGGTCTTTAAAAAAAGAAATAGATATAAAGATAGGGGGAAGGAGTGGGAAAGTTTAGGGGGAAAGTATATCTTTCTCGTAAGGTTTAGAAAAATGGGGGAAAAATAGATGAGAATAATTAGGGGAAAGGAAAATTTCTCTAGATTTGGAGTGGTTGTTTCCCCCATGGATTTTGTTATCTTTATTCTTGTGTAGATTCCTTCTCATAATCACAGCCTCTTCCTGAGGGTTCCCTCTAGCTTGTGTTATTCTGGACTATTGAGAGTTCTTTTAGGGTTTACTGATGAGAAACCCCTAAAAGAACTTGGGGAGAATCAACTGCATCTCACTAGTTGTTTGGAAGATACTTATGTGTTCAGTTGATTTTCAAAAGATGAGTTAAACCTCTTAGATCGGTTCAAAGGCTCCAGAAAAGTGCTTTCATAGAATGGCAAATCTTTGGAGTAGTTGTTGTTTAGAACCATGGTATAGGGATATATACACACAAAGAGGAAGGGGTTATAATTTCTCTTATTTCTTAAATGAACTACTGTTTTGACCACATCTCTGGTTGTACCTTCAGGTGCCCTTTCTGTCTGTGGGTGGGGACATTGGGGTCCGGACTGTTCAGCACCAAGACTGCAGTGCCTTGAGCGGTAACTATGTCATCGAGGACGTGCAAGGGGATGACAAGCGATACTTCCGGCGACTGATTTTCCTTAGCAACAGGAATGTGGTGCAGTCAGAAGCCAGGTTGCTGAAGGATGTGTCTTACAAAGGTGAGATGTCATAGGCGCCGTGGTGGGACCCAGGTCGCCGTGGCATGGACTACATTTCCTGGGAGCTTGGCCGAGATGTAGAATGGACCTGGGTGTCTGTGAATTCTTAACCATCTGGACTCTTAGGGTGTGAGCAGCGATAAGCAGAGTACATTCTGTTCTTGAGCAGAGTCTGGCTCTGAAGTGATAAGGGGCGTGGGTAGTGAAGCCAAATACATGTGATAATCGCCTTAATGTCTTCAGTTTAAGGGCATCTGTTTTGCAGGTGCTCCATGTACATCTGTGTATTGTTTCAGTAGGCGTCTGTGAGGTGAGCCAGAACCATGGAAGTTGCAGGTGAGCCCTGCCCTCCATCGTGTGACTCACCTGTTTCAGAGGGTTTTGGAGTTGGCGGGTGACTTAGAGGCCATCTAGTATAGCACTGTTCAGTAGAACTGTCTGTGATGAAGGAGATGTTTAGTACCTGAGTTTCTAATGTGGTCGTGACTAACCTTATGTAGTGCTGAGCGTTTGGAATGTGGCTAGTGTAACTGAGGAATTGAATTTTTATTTTCTTTAATTCTAATTAATTTACATTTACATTTCAACAGACACAGGGGGCTAGTGGCTAGTATTGGACAGTGTAGATCTAAACCATCTCCTCTAGGATCCCTTTAAGTGGTCTCCCAGCTGTCACTCAGAAACTCCCCCTGATGGGGAATCAATAGTTTGTTTTTACCTGTGTTTCTCACAGGCTGTGTTAGTTTGTGTTTTAAAGGTGATACTTGCTCATTGAAATCACTTCAAAAGTCAAATGTAGAGAGTGAAAAGTGAACGCCCCTCACCTCTCCGTCTCTAGTGCATTTTCCCTGTCTGAGGCACAGAGATTCAGGGATGGAAGCTGAAATGGCTCTCCTGATTCCCAGTTGTTCCCTTTGCCTGGCTTGCCTGCCCTCATAGCAAGGCCATCTGGGAGGAGGGTGGAGACAGAGAATTCAGATGCTTGAGGTTGTGGACTTGCTCTGAACTAGGATCAAGTTACCCAGCGAAATGGTTTTTTTCTTTAGGGGTTTTCCCTGGCCAAGAGCACCCAAGATTGTTGGGTTTCTGCCCTATTATTTGGTCACTCTGGCTACAGGTTGGTCCAGTTTCATCTCACTAAAATCTCAGTAAAATTGCTTAAAAGGACATTTTGCCCCTTTCAGTTTGGGTTTCAGGTTTTTTCACCATTGTCATGTTCCTTGACTTCTTGGTAGCACTTTGTTCTCATGGAAAGAATGTTCCCTCTCATGGGAGTATTGGTGAGCAAGAAGGAGAGCATATTAAAAAGTGATTTAATATCTGAAAAGCACCCCGACCCCACTCATCAATGCCTTTTGCTGCTGGGGAATGCAGCTGATCCCTATGAAGACACAGCCATCTGTTTAGTATGATATCCTGGAGCAGTGAAGGGAGTGGGGAGAGGGAAACGGGAGTGGCTTTTTCGGATTTATTTCTTTTTGAATACTTGTGATTTTCTTCTTCAGCAAAGGTTGGTAGTGCTACCTGTGTGGCATAGCAGAAAGATGATAGGTGATGGAGACAGGCAGTCCGAGGTTCAACTCCTGTCTCTACCATCTGCTGATTCCCTATTTACTTAACACTTCAGTGGCTCAGTGTGTTCATGTGCCAAGAATTGGAATGATAAGGTTGTTAGAAGAGCGAAAAGAATAAAAGTTACGGTATAGTAATTGGCACATAGGAGGTGATTAGTAACTTTACCTTCCTTTAAAGGACTTTATGAGTAATCTTTTCTCCTGTTAGTGGCCTTACATTTCTCAGAGGGGAGGTACCAAGGCTCCTCAGTTGAGTTTTCCCAGGTTTTTGAGTGTGCATTTGCCATTTCCTTTTCCAGGTTCCTTGCATCCATTGTATATGTTAAATGTTTAACAACTGTCTCATTGTGGGGCAGGGTGGGGGGGGGCACATCCTGATTTATAGTGTTTATCAGTTCTCTAGTATAAATACCACCACTGTGTTTGTTTGTTTTACGTTGCTTATAAAGGAATACCTGAGACTGGGTAGTTTACAAAGAAAAAAAGTTTATTTTGGCTTATGGTTCTGCAGACTGTACAAGAAGCATGGTACCAACATCTGCTTCTGGTGAGGCTTCAGGAAGCTTACAATTATCACAGAAGGTGAAGGGAGAGCAAGCACATCACATAGCAAGAGAGATGCCAGGCTTTTTTCAACAACAGCTCTAGAGTGAGAACTCACTCAATACCATGGGGAAGGCACCCAGCCATTCATGAGGGATCTGCCCTCATGACCAGCATGGTGGCTGTGACATTGGGGATCACATTTCAACATGAGGTTTGTAGGGGACAAACGTCTAAATGATTTCACTATGGCCAGTTTCAGGCTATCAACATGATGTCAACCAGTTTGCAAAATTTTAACGATTAGGTCTTTTGAGTCTATTCAAGCCATCTGGAGCACACTGCTGCTGGTAACCCTTGCTTCCTGAGGACTAGTGTACTAAGCATGGAACTTCATATCTCTTGTTTAGCCCAGAAGAAGCGGAAAAAGGACAGGAAGAAGCAGCGGCCTGCTGATGTGGAGGACTTCCCTGCAGCCCCAGGACAGTCCATTGATAAGAGTTACCTGTGTTGTGAACACCACAAAGCCATGATCGCTGGCCTTGCCCTGCTGAGAAACCCAGAGCTACTCCTAGGTGAGAGAGGACTGCCTTCCACAGAAGGGAGCATAAAGATTACAGACCTAAACAATTGGTGTCACCTGCATTGTAGTTGAAGAACAGCGATTATAAGCTGACAGTGTATCTTTCTTCATCTCAACCATGTTAAAAGTTAATGAGCAGTCTAATTAACTGTTGCCTCAAACTCAACCTGTTATATTAAAATTGTATTGAAATATGTTAGGGTCTAAATGGCATTTTTTCTGTTCATTTCTTTTTAAAATTAAGGTATATCGTGTATTCAGTGAGACATGTAAAAATACAGAGTTTAATTATTCAGCTTTTCTATAATGCATCATTTGAACATAAGATGCAATTGTATCTTGAAGTTCTACTTTCTAAAAAGATTCATATTATAGTTAATGCAGTCATAGCCTTATTACTAATAGCAGGTTTGGATCTGACTGCATTAGTAAAAATGTTCATGTTTCTATCTGTGATTATAACTGTTTTCACCTGAAGTCCCTGAATGTGCCTTCTTGGAACACCCTATACTTTTGTCCTATTGTAGTGTTGATATATGTCACTAGAACCTCAGTTCTTAGATTTAATTCTCAGGGATTGTCTCCTTTGGGTGACTTGTTTTTTTGTTGTCTTCCTTTGATCCCCCTGTGGTGGCTGTGCTGTGTGCTTAGGAGCAGGAGTTGGGCCTTTGTTTTCCTGTGATGTGTGGAACTTGAATGGCTTACCCTTACTTGGTGAGGGTGTCTGAGAAGACAGTGTGGCCTTTTGAGTCAGGGGCAAGGGGCATTGCACTTCTTTTGCCTTTTAATCATGAGCAGGATTGCTTGGCCACTCTTCCTCCCTTTCCTAGAGAGGGTCTAATAACTCTTATAGTGAGGAATCTTCTTTTTTTTGAGACAGGGATTCACTCTTGCCCAGGCTAGAGTGCAGTGGTACGATCACAGCTCACTGCAGCCTTGACCTCCTCAGGCTCCCACCTCAGCTTACCATGTAGCTGGTACCACCGGTGTGTGTCACCATGCCCAGCTAATTTTTCTACTTTCTATAGACAGGATTTCACCATGTTGCCCAGGCTGGTCTCGAACTCCTGAGCTCAAGTAATCTGCCCACCTCGACCTCCCAAAGTGCTGGGATTACAGGTGTGAGCTACTGCCCCGGCCACTTTGAGATCTTTAAGAGACCATAATAATAACACATTAGTTCACCTTCTGGATCTAGTCATCATGAATCCAGGATTGAGTTATCAGATGTCAAATTGACTCTTAGATTTCTGGAATGAGACAGGGAGACCTCTAAATCTTGTATCCCCTGAGTGGAGACAGTGAGCTGACCTAGGCTTTTGCCTTCCCTGAGGCTGGTACAGAATTTTCCAGTGAACAGATGGCAATGTGATGCTCTATTCTTTTTTTACAGAGATCCCACTGGCATTGTTGGTGGTAGGCCTGGGCGGAGGCAGCCTCCCCCTCTTTGTCCACGATCATTTCCCAAAGTCCTGCATCGATGCTGTGGAGATCGACCCCTCCATGTTGGAAGTGGCCACCCAGTGGTTTGGCTTCTCCCAGAGTGACCGAATGAAGGTCCACATTGCAGACGGCCTGGACTATATCGCCAGCCTGGCAGGAGGAGGAGAAGGTACTGCTCTTGGAGCATTTGAAGAGGTGTTGAAGGATGATTGGTCTGACATTGTCAGGCCCGTAAGGGCCTCTACAGTTTATCTCTAAGAGAGTGGTATGAGTTCATTCCAGTCTTCAGCCTGTTCATTTGTTGATATACTTACTCACTAGAATACCAGCTATATACTTAGCACTGTGTCAGGTATGAATGTATAGCAATAAGTAAAACAGGCCATTCCTGCCCTTATGGTGCTAACAGACCAGTGGGCTTTTTTCTGACCTGTAAGCTTGTCATTTCCTCACCATCTTAAGAAACCTGAAGTCTAACTGGGCAAAGAAACAGAGAAGAAAAGGTGGAATGTGTGTTGGGAGGTGTTTCTTGTAAATATTTCAACTGGAGGTAAAGCCAGAAATAGAGCAAAACAGTATTCATGTAAGATCAGTGGTTTACAACCTCAGGGTCCGACATTTGGTAATGTATGGAGACAATTTTTGGTTGTCACAGATCAGGGGGTGAGGGATGTTGCTACTGACATCTAACTGGTAGAGATCTAGGATGCTAGTAAACATTTTACAATGTGCAGGACAGGCACTGATGATAGAATTATCTGGCCCAGAATTTCCACGGTGCTGAGGTGGAGAAACCTTGATGCAGATGCTACTCTATGGGAATTCTGATAGGCCTTCTGCAACTAGAATTAAGGTTCCATTTGCTCTAGTAATTTGCATCCCAGATTTAGGACAAAAACCATAAGCATAATAATTTTCTGCAAAATACTAGGGACAGTAACTCTGCCTATTATACAAATAGGCTGCTGGTGACTTTAGTACTTTCTGTAGCTTAAGTCCTTCGGGGAGAAGGCAGTTAGGTTGGTTCAGTTCTGCTGGGGAGCTCAGGACACCCTTCCTGGTCTGCTTATTCCATAACAGATACTCTGGTCTCATTGGATTAGAATATTTTCCAGTAAGAGTGTGGCAAACTAGGATGCCTGGGACGAGTATTGAACCGATGCTATCTTAATTTTAATTGCAAGCTGAATTGAATTATAACAGTTTCACAGGTTCCCTCTCTGAGGCTAGGGTTAGTTTAGGTGCCCAAGCCCAGATAGCTAATATGGTGAAGTATTTACGACAGTGCCATGCACATGGTAAGCACTTAATCCACGATGTTACTGCTGTTGTTATCTATAGATTAATTTTCAATGGCTCTGCCCATCTTCTGTAACACTAAAATGTTTCAGATTACTGGAGGGCTCAAGGCTGCAAATGCAGGCTATTGTTTTCCTCGGACTTTGATGAGCCAACATGTTCTCTTTGTAAGAAACCAAAATCAGATCTGTGCTATGAACAATGATAAGCATGCAGCAGTCCTAATTAAATACTTATTAATTATTGAATAATTACTACCACAGTCTCAAAATTTTCTAAAAACATGTCAGTGGCATTGCAGACCTGCCCCTATAAAAACAATTTAACATTATAGTAAGGAGCAGATCCAATTCTTCATCAGTTCTTTCTCACCCATTTAGCAAAATCATTTCTTTCTTGAGTCAGCTCTTGTTCATGGAACTATAAAGATAACACTAACTGAAATTTCAGAACATTTTCTCCTATGAGGTAAAATACGCTGTTTTCAGAGTTAAAAGTTACCATTTACTGGGTCAGCCTTTAAAGGCTTAGTCAGCTGCTTTGTCTAGATCAGTGGTCCTCAACGCTGACTGTATTTAGAATTACCTGGAAAGCTCAAGAAAAATACCAGAGGCTTCCCATCTCTCCTCTCATCTGCCCCCTACCACTCCAGGATGTTTTATTCTGTTGGTCACAGTGTAGTCCGCATTAGAAGCTTCCCAAGGTGATTGTAATGTTCTGCCACAGTCAAAAGCCACTGGTGTTGATGGCCTCTTAACCAAGAAATATTCATGCTAAAGTGGACCCCATTAATGTTTTTGCCTTTGGAAGGTGCTTTTAAATGTGGAAGAATGTTCCATCTTTACTATGGGACACTCTGAACCCTGATGACAAGGACTGCCCTGGGCCATGATGTCAGTGCCCTTATAGGCAAACCACATCCTCTGTGTCATCCTTCTGACTTAGTCACCATGCCCACCACTGGTAAAGAGGAGGTATAGTGTAGGAATGTAAAATGGTATTATTTTATCCAGCAAAGACAAGGACTTGTTTCCTTCTTTTTCCCAGCACGGCCTTGCTACGATGTCATAATGTTTGATGTTGACAGTAAGGACCCAACACTGGGAATGAGTTGTCCACCCCCAGCATTTGTGGAGCAATCTTTTCTACAGAACGTTAAAAGCATCTTGACTCCTGAAGGTATGGAGAACAAAAGGTTGGAGAGGGAGGAGGGAAGGGACCATTAAAAGAAAAATTTATCTTTTTAATGAGAAATGCACAGAAGTGCGAGCTCGATCAGCTTTTCCAAATTGAATACACCCATTTACTAGCACCAGACACAGAAAATTTCCAGCTTGCCAGAAGTCTATCTCTTATCCCCTTTCAGTAACTTGTCCTCGCAAGAGTAATCACTATCTTAACATCTGTCTGCCCAGCTTAATTGTGCCTGTTCTTGTTCTTTATATAAATGGAATCATATGGAATGTTGGAATGTTCTTTTTTTTTTTGAGACAGGGTGTTGCTTTGTTTCCCAGGCTGGAGTGCAGTGGCATGATCATGGCTCACTGTAGCCTCAAACTCCTGGTCTCAAGGAATCCTCCCACCTCAGTCATCTGAGTAGCTGGGACTACAGGTGGATGCCACCAGGCCTGGCTAATTTTTTTATTTTTATTTTTTGTAGAGACAGGATCTCACTATGTTGCCGAGGCTGGTCTCAAACTCCTAGCCTCAAGCGATCCTCCTACCTTGGCCTCCCAAAGTGCTGGGATTACAGGCATGAGCCACGGCACTTGGCTGAATGTACTCTTTCAGTGCCCATTTTCTTTCACTCAACATGATGTTTGTGAGACTCATTCACAGTGTTGTGTTTACATGGCTTATTTTTATTGCTGTGTTGTATCATGTGACTTAACGCAATTCATTTATCCATTCTGCTGTTGGTATTTGGTTTGTTTCCTGTGTGGGTCTATTATAAGTAGTGCTGCCATTAGCATGTTAGTATATGCCTTTTGATGAATTATGTTTTCAGATCTCTTGAGTCTATACACAGGGTTGTAATTGCTGGATCATAGGTTATGGGTATGTTTGGCTTTTGTAGATGCTACCACACAGTTTTACAAAGTGGTTGTAGCAGTTCACACTCCCCCTAGCATGGTGATGCTAGCTACTACGTGATGCTTCCTACACGTGCTGTACCAGGCAGTGTGTTATTTAATCTTCATAGCAGTCCATTGTTTGAATGAGGAAACTGAGGTTGAAGATTTCCCAAGGTGACGCAAGGTAACAGTTGGGGCTCCAACCCACTGCCTTGTCACCTCAAAACTGGAGCCTTTAATCCTTATGTTAACAGCCCTCTAGGTGTTTTTGATTTGGTGTTTTGATTTGGTGCACTGTGGTAACTGACTTGATTTGGAATCTTAATTGTCAGAAGTCAAGGTAACCTTGGCCCTCTCACTGGTTAATAAATACTCTATGGTATGTATGTCAAGAATGTAATATCCCTGTAGAGTTGGTAAATTTTACTTTTGTAGGGAATCATTTTCTATGAATTGATTGAGACGAAGTCTCATTCTGTCACCCAGGCTGGATTTTGGCTCACTGCAACCTCTGCCTCCCAGGTTCAAGAGATTCTCCTGCCTCAGCCCCCCTAGCAGCTCCTGCCTCAGCCTCCCTAGCAGCTGGGATTACAGGGGTTCACCACCATGCCCAGCTAATTTTTATATTTTTAGTAGAGCCGAGGTTTCACCATTTTGGCCAGGCTGGTCTCATACTCATGACTTTCAGTGATATGCCTGCCTCAGCCTCCCAAAGTGATATGATCATAGACCTGAGCCACCGTGCCCAGCTGGGAATCACTTCTTTCTCAAAGCAATTCTTTGGGAAACTGAGGCGTGGAGAATGGTAAGATAATGTGTGAGTAGCACAGAAGAGCAAGAAATAAAGCTGAAGTTTGTCTATGGCTCACATGCTCCCCATGCTTTTCTCCATCTGCCTTTCTATGCTGTGTATTCTCTGCAAACTCACCACCATCATAAGTGCGTTTTAGCCCATCAGTCTCCTTGGGACAGGAATTGGTATTTTCCTCAAAGCCGATCCTTATCTTTGATATGTCTCCTGATGTGAGGTCATTCTGACTTTTCTTCCTACCCTATAGGTGTTTTTATTCTCAACCTCGTGTGCCGAGACTTGGGGCTAAAGGACTCAGTGCTGGCTGGGCTCAAGGCAGTGTTCCCCCTCCTATATGTCCGGCGAATTGAGGGTGAAGTGAATGAGATCCTGTTCTGTCAGCTGCACCCTGAGCAAAAACTTGCCACACCAGAGCTCCTAGAAACAGCCCAGGCTTTGGAGCAGACCCTGAGGAAGCCTGGGAGGGGTTGGGATGACACGTATGTCTTGTCAGATATGCTCAAGACGGTGAAGATTGTATGATTGCTTAGGCCAAGCAGCCCTCCTGCCTAGACTGACCTTGGACTCCCAGCCTGCCAGAGATTGAAGAAATACAACGCACAGTACTTTTTAAGCTTCATATTTTTCTCGGTTTCACACTCAGCTACATGTGACCTCCAGCTTGGTGAGGTTGCCTGAAGATTAGGGAAAATAAAAATGTCCTTCCCATCTTGTCCTCTTTAGTACCACTTGGGTTGGTTCGTCTTTGCTTCCTACACCATGTCCTTGTGTAGAATTCCCTGCTGAAGCCCCTAGCACACACTGCATGCCTTAACAAGTATGTGCAAGCCCCTCAGGATTCAAGACAGCCAGATTTTATTGCATCTCTACTTATACTGGTTTGCTTTTTTTTTTTTTTTTGGAGACGGAGTCTCACTCTGCCGCCCAGGCTGGAGTGCAGTGGCCAGATCTCGGCTCACTGCAAGCTCTGCCTCCCGGGTTCACGCCATTCTCCTGCCTCAGCCTCCTGAGTAGCTGGGACTACAGGCGCCCGCCACCTCGCCCGGCTAGTTTTTTTTTTTTTTTTGTATTTTTTAGTAGAGACGGGGTTTCACCGTATCAGCCAGGATGGTCTCGATCTCCTGACCTCGTGATCCGCCCGTCTCGGCCTCCCAAAGTGCTGGGATTACAGGCTTGAGCCACCGCGCCCGGCCACTGGTTTGCTTTTGATTTATTCCTCTATTAGTTCTGTAGGAGTGATCTCAAGTGAGATAGCAGAGCAAGATGCCAAAAGACTATAAACAGAGTAAGGTTTCTATAGATGTGAGACAGATCTGAGAGAGCATTTACTCTGTCTCCCTGTGGGTGAAACTGCTGCTGAAATGGTTCCAATTTTTAGGAATCTGCTAACCCACTTCATTATTTGACAGCTTTCCTTGATGACCCAAACCTTGTAGCCTAAGCCATTTGTCTTTTGCTCAGTGGAGGGAGTGTATGGACCCGGCCCCATGGCTTTGCATGTCAAAGACCTGGCAGACTAAAGTGTCTGGTGTTTGTTTACTCACATTCGTTGAGTGACAGCTATGTGCCAGACTCTGCGTAAAGAGTGGTAGCAGAAGTGAAAATGTTTAAGAATGACCAAAAACATTACTAATGAAAGTTAATGTGTTCCAGGCATTCTTCTAAGTGGTTTACATGCACTGTCTCATTTAATCTGAGATAAAGGATAGTTAAGCCCAAACTGTATCTAAACCCAAATCTCACTTGGCTGGAAACATCAATCTTAACCATTTATTGAGAACCATTAAACCAATGATTCCAAGACTGGCTTGAATTTTGTCTTTCCTAATTATACCAATGTTGATTTAATGAGCAGTGCCGTGGAAAATAGGCATTGTCACCATTCACCACCTGGCTTATCTTTCCACAGACCCTTTAAAAATGGACCCCAACCTTTCAGGTGAAGCATACAGATGCTCTTCATCCTACGATGGGGTTATACCCTCATAAATCTATCATAAATAGAAAATGCATTTAATACCCTGATAAGCCGTTGTAAACTTGAAAAGTTGTAAGTCAGAGACTGTCTGTATTTCAGTGAGGTTGTCATCCTTAGAAAATAGTGTCAGTCCATTAAGGAGAGGAGAGAGTGCAGAGAAGTGTTTTTAGATCTTATCCATTAGAAATACTTGGTGCTCTTTCTTTAGGCCGGAGTCTTCCCCGGAACCCCGTAATGGGAAGATTATCCCTCATGTCAGGTCTGTGTACCCCAGAGGACCTTACTTGGCAAGTCTTTTCTTTTTTCTTCTTTTTTTTTGAGACAGGGTCTCTCTGTCACCCAGGCTGGAGTGCATTGGCACCATCACGGCTCACTACAGCCTTGACCTTTTGGGCTCAGATGATCCTCCCAACTCTCAGCCTCCCAGGTAGCTGGGGCTACAGCATGTACCACCACACCTGGCTCATTTTTTCGTAGAGACACAGTTTCGCCATGTTGCCCAGGCTGGTCTCTTGACTCCTGGGCTGAAGCCATCCACCTGCCTTGGCCTCCCAAAGTGTTGAGATTACAGGCGTGAGCCACTGTGCCTGGCCACTTCATTTTTTTTTTTTTTTTTTTTTTTAAATCTCTGAGCTCGTGCAGTGTCAGGATGGGTTATAGAGGCCCAGGGTCTGAGTCAGAGGAGCTTGTCTGCCTGTCCTTGGTCATATCACCCTCATGCTGTGCAGAGTTTGGAGCAGCACATTTGGGTGGCACGGCCAAGCTCGGCATCATCAGAATGATAAGGTTTCAGTTACATCTTAGGGGGAATGGTCCACAGAGTTAGGCACGGATTTACATGTCGCTTCCCACATTCGGAGGTGGGAAGAGGCACTCATGGGTGATGAGTATACTCAAGACTTAAGTATAAAAGAAGAAGGAAATTGGTTATGTGCTGAAGGCTTGAGAAAGACCAAGGGACAGGAGTCAGTTTTTGGCTTAATTTCCTACAAAGGAAATTTGTACCAATGGAGACCAGTATGTTCACCAGAACACTTGGTGGCTGCAGCCTGCTTACTCAAACCCTAGTCTGACTGCCCTCTGGAGCTTGCTGGATTGTGAGGAAAGTTGTATGTGTACAGACAGCCATTGGCCTGAATCCCATCTTTTCCACTGGAGAGCTTTTCGCTTTTGCACTAATGACAGGCAAATGGTTCCTTATGGGAATTTTGCCTAACTTTAGGGGTGAGAGCTCTAGAGGAGGGGGAGGGTTGGAAGCTTCAATGCCTACCAGACCAAGCAAGTAACAAATATGTAGAGCAAGTGAACCAGGTATAAAACAAAAAGGCTAGGATGAGACCTGTGGCAAACCAGAGAATAAATGTCTCCTCTAAAGGCAGCGGCTGTCCCAGCTGAGTTGTCTTGCAGGAGCACTGTCTTAGCATAGCTAGGTCTTTTAAGAGAAGCCAGAAATCTCGTGTGTGTGTGTGTTGACATTAAAATGTTGGCCAATCAGTATACATCTTCAAGCTATAATCTATTTTGCATAGAGACAGATTATAGGGGAGACAGCCTACAAAATGCCTGAGAATCTGGCATGCACCCTGGTTCTGAGTACAAAACAAGGAGCAAGCCGATAGCAATGAGTTACAAAAGTCTGGAAAAGTCTTATCTATGACCTCAATTTTCTTTAATGGCTACAGCTGAGTGGGGATGGTCCCATCATCCTTGGGAGAGTGTACAATTTAGCTTCCCAGGACTATCAGAGAACTGAATGAGAATAAATCACATGACAGTTTGCGCCTCTGCCCCCCCCCTTCCTAAACAAGTTCTGTGACAATGTAAAATTGGTAAGGCTGCCTATTGCCCTTCTCTGCCTTTTTGCCCTTGTTCCCTACCAATTTTTCAGTGTGTGCCTCCAGTCTTCTGTCATGGCTGCCTGCTAACTGGGCCTCTTCTCTAAGTCTGTCTTCTTATGGGTTGGGTAGACCAGTAGTTACTCTTTTTTTTTTTTTTTTTTTTTTTTTTTTGAGATAGGGTCTCACTCTGTTGCCCAGACTGGAGTGAAGAGGCACGATTTTGGCTTACTGCCACCTCTGCCTCCCAGTCTCAAGGAGCCCTCTCGCCTCAGCCTCCTGAGTAGCTGGGACTACAGGCGCACACCACCATGCCCAGCTCATTTTTGTATTTTTGGTGGAGACAGGGTTTCACCATGTTGTCCAGGCTGGTCTTGAACTCCTGGGCTCAAGCAATCTGCCTGCCTTGGCCTCCCAAAGTGCTAGGATTACAGATGTGAGCCACGGTGCCTGGCACAACCAGCAGTTATTCTCAGCTGCACATTGGAGTCATCGGATATGGTAAGCAAAATAATGTTCTCCCAAAGATGTCCATGTCCTAATCCTTGCAACCTATGAATGTTACATTACACTACATGACAAAGGGAAATTAATGTAGCAGATGGATTTGGTGTTGTTAATGAGTTGTCTTCAAAATAGGGATATTATTTTGAGTAATCAAATTCAGACACTTGGTGGACTCCACATAATCTCAAGAGTCTTAAAATGTGGAAGAGGGAGGCAGAAGAGTCAGTGTCAGAGTGAAGCAATGTGAGGAGGACTCACCACTCACTGCTAGCTTTGAAGACCATAGGCCACTAGCTAAGGAACGTGGGCAGCCTCTAGAAGCTGGAGAAGGTAAGAAAACTAGAGCTTCCCTAGAGCTTCCGGCAGGGAGTGCAACTCCACCAATACCTTGAGTGTAGCTCAGTGAGACCCATTTTGGACTTCTGATACGGAACTATAAGATAATGAATTTGTGTTGTTTTAAGCCCCTACATTTGCAGTAACTTTACAGCACCCCTAGAAATGGAATTTACCTGGGAAGCTTTAAAAAATGCCTAGGCCTGGCCCCACCCCCACAGACTGATTTAATTGGCCTGGAGTGCAGCCTGTGCATCAGAATTTTAAAAAAGCTTTCCAGGTGATGGATGCTGTTTTGCAGCCAAAATTGAGGACCCCTGGGGTAGAGGTTCTGTGGATGGATATGTTACAAGGTAAGGGGGAAGGAATTGCTAGTCTCATTAATGACTGCTGGCTTAGCTCTGAAATGCAAACATCAGCAGTCACTTGGTGATTGGAACATACTCCCCTCCCACCTTCACACTAGCCCACACCTTTTAGCTCTTTGCCCTTTGAGTGGATGGCAGTAGTGTGAGGAGTCAACTTGTTGCATTGGGCGATTTCCTCCATGGGGCACAGCACCCTCACTCCCTGCTATAATTGGGCCCTGAGTGTACCTCCCAAGGACTGCTTAATAAAGCTCAAAGTCTAGCAAACCATAAGTCATGCAGTTTCCCTCTTGTGGCTTGTCTTGCCATTTGGTTCCTGCAGATTTTTAACAGCTAAATGGTCGATCATAAAAAGAATCATTAAGTTGGATTTTTCTTTTTTTTTATACCCAATTGGCATTTTTTTTGGAGAGGTTGTTCTGTGCCAGACACTGTGCTTGTGCTAATAAAAAGAAAGACAGCTTCTGCTCACCAACTAGCTGGGGAGAACAAATTACACAGCACGTGGATGAGTTCAGCAACCACCTGTGCATAAAGCGTAAGGGCAGCATACGAGATGGTCAGATGTTTGGTAAGAGTCTTCTTAGATCCTCCCGCTGGGCAGACAAAAAAATCCAGCCTCAATAAAAACTGCCCCCTTAAAGTGACGGAAGGCTGGACTCATGGTTTTGTTTTTCCATCCCAGGTCTCACTTGGTTCCTGTGCTTCCCACTAGATGGCACTAGAAATCACATTTAAGTGCTTGGGTGCTGTAAATAATTCTTCTTGGGAACATGGCACTTCCAGGGGCTCTTTCACCTGAGCCATATTTCCTGTGTCTTTCTCTGGTCAGTAAAGACAGACTTCTACTTGACCTATTGTTCTCTTGCTTCACCTGGTAGCCTATGCCCTCTGCTCTTCCACTGTCACCTGTTTTCCTTGCCACGCACATGGAGACAGCACCATTTTCTCCAACGGTGGAAGCCTGTATAAGGCAGAGATCCTTTTACCCCTACATCCCTGATTTTAGAAGTAATGGCAGGAAATACAGCAATGGAATAATGCTAGTAAGACGTGAAGCTAGCGGCATATAAGAAGACAAAAATGTAACAACATACATCTGGGCCTGAGCTGGCATGTCTTCAAGTTTTCTGCCAAGATGTAAGTCATTTTTATCATAGTAGTAAACTGGTAGATAAATGCTAGTAGAAGTAAAATTTGATTGAAATGGATTTTTTTTTGGAAACCTACCTGCAGTGGGTTGAATAGTGACTCTAAAAAGAAATATCCAAGCGTTAAACCCCAGAACCTATAAATGTGAGCTTATTTGGAAAAAGGGCCTTTTGCAGATGTAATTAAGTTGAGAATCTCAAGCTGAGATTATGTTGGATTGGCGTGGACCTTAAATCCAATGATAAGGACTTAGAATGGAAGGGGAAACGAGACAAGGGAGACACGGGAGAAGGACATATGAAGACAGAGGTAGACTGGGGAGACATCCCCGCAAGCCAAAGAATGACAGGGATTGCTAGCAGCTACCAGAAGCTAGGAAAGAGGCAAGGAATGATTCTCCCTCAGAGCCTCCAGAGGGACCCACCCGCTGACACTTTGCAGACTTCTGGCCTTTACAGTTGTGAGAGAATAAATGTCAATTGGCTTAAGCCATCAAGTTTGTGGTAATTTGTTTCAGCAGCCTTGGGGAATGAATATATAGCCTAAAAGGGCTTTGTGCCACCCCATAGAACCATTAACGCTAGTCTCATTAATGACTGCTGGTTTGGCTCTGAAATGCAAACATCAGCAGTCACTTGGTAATTGGAATATATTCCCCTCCCACCTTCACACTAGCCCACACCTTAGCTCCTTGCCCTTTGAGTGAATGGCAGTGGTGTGAGGAGTTTGGCCTCCCAAAGTGCATGGGCTCCGGGCCACATGCTACCCCAGATGTGTTTAGCCTTCACCAGACATTTTAAATAAAATCGATAGATTAGAAAATCATTTTATACAAAATCTTTAAAATCTCTGGATTCTTTTGAGAATTTAGAAGTTCCTGTGATGACAGGCCCATGTTCATGCTTGGCTGGAACTGGCAAGCATCTGTGCCTTGTGGATGGGTGGTGTTTGCCACAGTCCTCACTGCTTTCTGTGTCTTTCATGCATTTATGTTACATGCCTGGTCCTGCAGGCATTATAGTTTGTAGCTCCTACAAATGTGGCAGGATAGGTAGGCTGGGAGACACAATCCCTTTTTTAGAATATGGGGAAAGGAGTTCCTGGTTTTGTAGTCAGTAGTTCTGGGTGTTTTTTTGTTATATAGCAGCACAGCTTAGAAGGTGGTTTCAAAATCTGGTTGCACAACAAAACCATCTGGGGTCCATTTCCTATGTACTGATTCTGGACCATATCCCAGACCTACTATGTCAGAATCTTGGGGGTGTGTGTGTGTGGGTTGGGGTGGGGGGGGTGATGGAGTAGGACGGTGGTAGAGCCAAGGAATCTGCATTTATAAAACTCTTCAAGCAATTCTGATAATAAACAGGCCTAGAAATAGCTGCCATAGGATATTATTTTTCAGCACTGGAAAGGGAGGCAGTTTGGGTTTTCTATTTCACTGGAGATCTTTGAGGCATGTTGTTTTTAAAAAAAGTCAAGATGGCAGAAGTGGAGCAGAAAAAGCAGCGAAGCAGAAGCAGCAGACCTTCTGCAAGTTCACCTCCTGTGGCGTGCACCCCGACCTGCTGCGGGACTTGTCACGCGAGCAGCGAATGAAGCTGCACTGTGGCCTATGGCAGAACCAGCACTCGCTGCTGAAGGGCCTGTGCAAGGTCAAGAAGTGGGCACTGCCTATGCAGAAGCCAGAGGTGGTGAACGCGCACCTGCAGGACATGATCATCCTGCCCCAGATGGGAGACAAGATGGTGGATAGCATGGTGGGCGTCTACAACGGCAAAGCCTTCAACCAAGTGGAGGGCAAGCCCGAGAGGATTGGCCATTACCTCGATCACCTACAAGCTTGTGAAGCACTGCCCGGCCAGGCATCAGAACCACCCACTCTTCCCGTTTCACCGCCCTCAAGGAGTCTGCTCAGCCAATAAAGGCACACACATTTCTTAAATAAAAAAATAAATAAATAACAAAATGTCTTTTCTCACGGAAATTTGAATGATTGCAATATTTTGTGGAGCTAAGGCTTTGAATTAGATTCGTTCTATTTATGAAACCAAGAAACTTGGTTTCTAGCTACAAACCAAGAGTGGCAAAACAAGATTGGTTCTTTAATGAAGGCATAAAATAAACACCTAATCAATATAGTGATATCTTTTATTTATCTAGGCAAGATGGTACAATACTCTGCAGGACCCCTTCAGCACATCAACAAGTCCTATAGCCCGTCTTCTCTGTTTATTCTCATAAAAGCTGGAAATAGTTATTTCAGAGTTGTAGATTAAATCTCAGCTGAACCAGTACTATGCCTACAAGATGGTACTGTCCTCTGCAGGGCCTCTTCAGCAGGTCAACAAGTCCTATAGCCCACCCGGGTTCTGTTGAGATTTAATCTATAACGCTGAAAAAAGCTGGAAATAATTATTTCCAGCTTTTATTCTTGAAAATAAGGCTTGGATCTCTACCAGTCTTCTGAGGATGCTAATAGACTACCCAGGAAGGAAGAAGGAAATTGTGAGGGTATTTAAAGAAAGTTGTTAGGGGAAATGAAGTTGCCGTTATTTTGGTCAAGGAAGGTTACAATACTACAAAGCACTGCATACAGATTCAACTCATAAAGACTTTATTAAATGATTCTTTTATTCAATTAACATTTATTGGAGTGCCTACTATGTATCAGGCACTTTTCTATTGCACTAGGAGTACTGTAATGAATAAAAGTAATACAAGTCCTTGTTCATGAGCCTTATACTTAAGAAAAATGAAAGGATAGCTTCATTAATGTGTGGCAGGTGCTTTTCATAGGAAGTATGACTGTTATGTGGTCTATATTAATTTATTAATTTTTAAGGCTCTTATATTAGCATGTCCTGCAGAGAAACAAGGCTGAGCCCCCATTGAATGCTATTAATTTGCAGAAGCCATTAGGTGCAATTTTCAAGTTAAATTTCAGGGGTACCGCCAACTGAATGTTTGCATACCTAGCACTTTGCTTACCAGAAGAGCTATTTTCTCATGGCCATCACAGCATCTGCTTCCCCATAGGAGAATGAATAAGCCCCAGGCCATTTGAAAAATGGACCACAGAAAAATTTCCTATAAAGGGCCCTGTGGATGGGCTAGGCCACTCAACCCATCTTCTAGTTATCACGTGGCAGATCTAGGGCTTACCCCCAACCCAAGGCTGGTGATGTGACTCTTAAACATTTTGCCTCCCATGAAACAGCACAGTTGTGGTAAGGAAGGCTGGCCAATGAGTTACAAGTATAGACTAGGTTGATTCCAGGTCATTCATTGGTGAGAGGGCAGAGCCAGGACTAGCTACATGTCTCTAGGTTTCCAGTTCAGCGCTTGCCACTATGATAACCATCTTGTTTCTTTGAATGCAAAAGTTGAGAACCCTAGCAACATGAAGATGTTAAAATGTCATCTGTTTTGCTGTCCAATCAAGATTGATGGACCGAGAATGGTTGTGATGCCCTAGCAGAGTGCTCAGTAGACCCAGCAAGTGAAGTAGTTGTGGAAAGGCATTGGTGTGAAAGCTGTGGGTGTTATCAGGACCCAGAGCTGCAGTGGTCTGGTACCTCAGCCAGAGCAGAGAATTTCCTTTATTGAGACTTAGCTGAGACCTGCACTACACGAAGACCTGGAGGTCACCATGCAGGCACACAGGCCCAGGGATAGAAGCTTTACTCTTTTCCTTCACTCCTCTCTTTGATCCTTTGTTAAGCTCTAGCCACACGCCAAACAGTATGCTGGGGCAATGGGGGTACAAACTTCAAGAACCTTGCGTTTTCATAAGCCATCAAATTGGGTTAGGTTGCCAAGGTGATGGCTCTGAGGGGTGAGGGTGGAGAGGAGGAAAGCTAGGCTGGCCTCACTCACTTTGCCTGGCTCTTTGGGGGCGTTGCTGATATAGAGAGCTGCCAGCCTTAGTAAAACCGAAAGCAAAGATGACCAAACAGTTCAGCCTTTCAAAAATAGTTCCTATACTTTTCTAGTGAGAAAGACTTCCCCTAGTCAGGAATTATGATCCTATTAGTTCCTAGTTGTAAAACATAGTTGTTAAAAGAAAGAGAACTAACATTTATTAAGGACTTACTATGTTAGAGGTACCGTAGAAACATCAGGAAATTTTAAAAGCAACTTTATTGAAGTGTGATTGACATATAACAAACTGCACATGTTTAAATCATCCACTTAATAAGTTTTTACCTTTGTATATACCCATGAAATCATCACCACAATCATGATAATGATTAGCCAGGCTTGGTGGCACATGCCTGTAGTCCCAGCTGCTTGGGAAGCTGAGATAGGAGGATTGTTTGAGCCACTGGAGTTTAGGCTGCAGTGAGCCCTGATCGTGCCACTGCACTCCAGCCTGGGTGACAGAGAGACTCCGCCTCTAAAATATATATATGATTAATATATATGATATGTATATACATGTCCATCACTCCACAAAGTTACCTTATGCTCCTTGTAATTCCTTCATCCCACTTTTCCCACCCCTAGTCTTGTCCTTAGACAACCAGTGGTCTGCTTCCTATCACTACAAATTCGTTTACATTTTCTAGAATTTTACATTAACGAAATCATATAGTATATATTCTTTTTTGCTTGATGACTTCTTCCTTTCTTCCTTCCTCTTATTTCTTTCTTTTCTTTCCTTCCTTTTTCTTTTCTTTCTCTCTCTCTTTTCTTTCTTTCTTTCTTTTTCTTTCTTCCTCTTTCTTTTTCTCTTTCTCTTTTTCTCTCTCTCGCTCTTTCTCTCCCTTCCTTTTTTTCCCTTTCTTTCCCCTTCCTTCCTTCCTTCCTTCCTTCCTCCCTCCCTCCCTCCCTCTCTCTCTCTCTCTTTCTCTCTTTCTTTCTTTCTTTCTTTCTTTCTTTCTTTCTTTCTTTCTTTCTTTCTTTCTTTCTTTCTTCTTTCTTTCTTTCTTTCTTTCTTTCTTTCTTTCTTTCTTTCTTTCTTTCTTTCTTTCTTTCTTTCTTTCTTTCTTTCTTTTTTCATAAAGGCAGAGATTGGTCAGTCTCTCTGGACTTTCAGCTGTGTCTTTACAACTCATGGACTCTATAAGGCTATATGTCAGTTTCCACTCTCTGGGCCATAACCTGGAAACCCTCTCAAGGGAGTAACTTGTCTCAATCATAGGGTTCATCTCATTTGTTTCCCTTCTCTCAGGGATTATTGCTTTTTATTGACCGATGTCCAATGTCTTGAAAACCATTGTTTCAGGCTGGGCGCAGTGGCTCATGCCTGTAATCCCAGCAATTTGGGAGGCCGAGGCAGGCAGATCACTTGGGGTCAGGAGTTCGAGACCAGCCTGTTCAACATGGTGAAACACCATCTTTACTAAAAATACAAAAATTAGCCGGGTGTGGTGGCATGTGTCTGTAATCCCAGCTACTTGGGAGGCTGAGGCAGAGAATCATTTGAACCTGGGAAGAAAAGGTTGCAGTGAGCAGTGATGGCACCACTGCACTCCAGCCTGGGCAATAGAAGGAGACTCTGTCTCAGAAAAAAAAAAAAAAAAGAAACCATTGTTTCATATATTTTGTCTTGTATCAACTGGGAAAGAAAATCTGGACTCTACTACTCCATTTTTCTTGTAGCAGAAATCACAGCATGTATTTTAATCCTATAGTAACCACATTTTACAATGAATATTTTTTATCACTATTTTTTTTACATGCAATACTATAGCTCAGAGGGGTTTAGTTCTAAAGTAACTGAAGGTAAAAGCAGGGTTTAAATCAAGGTATTTTTCTTTCCAAGGTCTGAGTTCTTTTCACTGTACTAGGTTGATGGGGTCATCTGAAAGGCACTCAGGCTGGGTTTTAGGCCAGTCTCTGACTTCAAAGATCTGTATGATCTTAGTTAAGTCATGTAAATTTTCTATGCCACAGAACCCAAGAGAACTTTCAATTGCTTTGCCCCAGGGCTACTCTTTAGGCCAAGGCTGTCTTTTCTTCCTCTTTTTACAGGCCCCATAATTTCAGCCTGATTTCCAGTTCTCTTTAAAAAGATAACCCTATTCTATAAAGTTGTTCTCCTTTAAAACTTCTTTCTTCCCCAAGTGCTTAGTGCAGTGTTGGGCATGCAAACAGGTTCTCAATAAACGACAGGTGAACGAATAAATAAACGAGTGCATACATAATTGACTATAGAGTAAGTAGGGTACAGTCTCCTTCCTTGCCTTCTCCCAGTGAACACAGAAGGAGTTCTCGGGCCTCTGCAATCCCTGGATGCCAGTGAAATCCTATTAGCATCAGTGGTTCGTTGTCTGGCCCCACTAGCTCAACCAGGATCTCTGGCTTTCTTGAGACTCCCTCCCCTATGCCCTAATATTATTTCTGAGTTTATAAGAATTCACAAAGGAAGAACTACCAAGTACATTGACCTGTTGGGGGGAAAAAGTCACCAATTATAGTTACGTGAATTGAAGGCGGTTATTTCTTTGTTCTTTTCCTCAAGTCAGAAACCTAAGTCTGAAATTCAGATTGTACTTGTTTTGGACTGTAAATGTTAGCAAGAAAGCCATGAAATTAATAAAAGGACACTTTTCTTCCTAAGACACTTCTGGCATAAATGGCTCCTGCTGACCAGGTGATGAGATGATTCAAAGCCTCTGTTTCTGGCATGCCCAGCCATTGCAAAGAAAGCTGAGCACGTTCTTCCTGGGAGGTCCTTTGTAGCCCAGTGGGCTATGGAACAAAGGGGAGGGACCAGATTGAAAAGTTCTGTCCCAATCCCACACACGTGTCTGTGTCTTGTAGGCATGGTCGCATCTCCATCCGTTGCTTGTTTCCACAAAATGGTAAGTCATAGAGGCTGCCCTTTAGGAAATCCAGGACCCTTTAGAATTCAGTTCAATTTACCCTCTATTCATGAAGCATATGCCATGCACTCAGCTTCATGCTCTTATAGAAGTGGTCTTTGGCTTCCTGTTGGGTAGATGTCCCACTCCTTAACTCCTCAGTCTGAGGCCAGAACACTCAGCGCTAATACATGGGAGCCTAGAAGGGTCAGCTTTGGAGGGAGGTTGATAACCCTGATAGCTTAAGAGCCCCTGTTAGTTTTAGAAGTGCCCAAAAGGTTATCTAGCCTTTCTAACTAACACCCACCTAGGTCTTGAAGA